TTTCAGTCTCATGTGAAGGGTAAGACAATGCACATATTATAATTTATTTACTCATCACAATCAGGAGGTAACTATTTCCTAATTACATTATAAGTGTTTCTTGGCCTATCAGCTTTTGATATACCATGCACTAAATGCCTTAAAGCCAATAATCTAAAATTGCCCCTCGTGGGTCCCACTACAGTGCATCTTTCACAGTTCTGTTTCATAGTTCTGATGATAATCCAGGTGATAGAAATAAATCCTTTTCCTTGAAATACCGAGAGCTGGAGTTCTGTGAGGAATTCTGCCATCTCTCCTAACTCCTGCCATAAATGCTGGAAGCACTGGTGCAGGAGCAAACTGCAGTTCCCAGACCTCCCCAAAGCAAAGGTGTTTCATAGCAAACCAAGAGGTTTTCCCCCAATTTACCCACCCAGTATTGCAGACAGCATTAACTTTGCCAGCATGAAAGTTTAGCCTGATAAAAGTTTAAGGGGTGTTTGGCTTTAGAGGGATCCTACAAAAATCAGAATTCATTCCTCTGGGCTGCACATCTCTCTGGTAAATTGGTTTAAAATCCAGTGCTGCAGGACTGTGCCTGCAGAAGCATCTGCAAAATGAAGCAACCAGAAGCTTTTACATTTTCCAGTTTGTCAAGCTGCTTTCCTAAAAAGAATCAAGGTCTGCTGTGAACCAAGGTCCTTCCTCAAAAGAATCACCAGTTTTCCTGGGAACAGTGAAATGGTGTGAGAAGTAAACCAGTTTTTAAAAGTTATTTTTATATACAAGTGAAAACCTATCCATTTCTGAACACTTCTGGGGCACATGCAATGATGCATTTCCTGTGTCAGGGAGATTGCAGTCTTGATAAGATTGATAAAGAGGAAAGCAGCTGATTTTATCTGTTTTAAAGGCAGAAAAGCACACTCCAGGAGAGACACAGAGCACCTCCCAAAACACCCCAAGCTGAATCTCAAATCTTTCTCTCCTCCACATCCTGCTTAGAGACAAGAGGTAAGCCCTGGCTGCAGATTTTTATATTCTTCTTCATGTTAGACATTTAAATATCCCTCCACTTTTTTCACCTAACTTTCCTTTCCTGGCTGCATATTTTGATATTCCTCCTCATGTCAGACTTTTTCAAAATCTCTCCACTTCTCTCACCTAACTTTCCTTTCCTGGCTGCTCTCAGTCCTACCCTGACACTGCCAGAGATGATCTGGGGATGGAGTTTGGGTATCAGGCCAACATTCCCCATCACTCGGATTTATTAACCCTTATGCAAGTCAGTTAATGTAGCTCAGCCTCAAAACTGGGACAATGACATTTACATAACGATTGGAGGTGTTGGTAATCAGCCTGAATAATGAAAAGCATTTCCCTGACTTTGTGTCAGTGTGTGACCATTGAGAAATAATTTATTTGTCACATTCACGTGCCACCATCTCCAGCAGAATTCAGGCTTGGTGGTACTTTTTTACTTCTCGTGATCCCTCAGGAATTCTGAGTCATCCGAGGCTGTTTGAAATTAAGGTTGAGAGGTAAGAACTATGTTCTTCCACCTTGCTAGATGTTAATAGAAACAATTTGCTAATTGCTTCCTGCTCAGTGGAAATGCCTCCTTGCTGGAGGTAGGTTTGGGGTGTAGGTGGAGGCTGAACAGAGCTTCTGTACCAGGCACATCTGTGCAAGTTGTCAAACAGCAGCATTTTTTGGTGAAAATATCTTTTCTGTTATTTCTAGGAACTGAGAACCCCAGTGGAAGAAAAAAAAAAAAAAAGCAGAATGTTTTTATGCTCATTTCTCAAGTTCCTGCCAACATTTCTCTTTGTTTTCTTCCCTGAGAGAAAGCAAGCACAACCTGGCTCAGAGTGATGAGCGTTCTGCTCATGGTGTCAGGGAGGAGATGTTTGAAAGGACCTAAAACCTTTCTGTCTGTCCTGTCACTGCAGGGAAGAGCTGCCACAGCCTGGGACACTCATCCCAAGAGCCAAGCAGAGCTCTCAAGGACGCTGCTGAACTTGCCCAGCTCAGAGCTGCTGTTTTACCCTTTTATAAATAGGCCAGGCTCAGCTGCTTAGCAGTCTTATCTCCACCAATTACCAGGGATAAGAGCTGCTCCTGCTGCAGAGTTCAGGCCTCTTACAAAATACTGAGCAACAGCAGGGCAGTGGCAGCGCTGCGGGAAGAACCAGCTGCCACCTGAAGGGTTTCTTTTTGAGCAGGCAATGTAAATTGTCGTGGGGATTCATCACTTTCACCCTGCTGCGTTTGGGAAGGTCCAGCCCAGGAGGCAGCCCTGGGCAGGGAGTGGAGGCTGGCAGAGCTGCTGTGTCCGAGCATCTCTCCTGGGATGGTTTTTCACTTCGGCTTTGACTCCCTAAAGCTGAATTCCTGCCCAGTGTCATGTTCAGGTGTCCCTTTACACTTCGAGAATCCCTTCCAGCACACTAAAGACATTTGGGGCTCTGAGATGTCATTAACCCACAGAGCTGTGAATTGTTGCCTCAATTCCTTGCACATTGGCCTCTGGAATAAAGGACTAGAGAGAAATTTTGCCTCAAAATCCTGTACTTTCAAGAGCGGTGTAACATGGCCAATGGTATTTTCCCACATCTAGCAACTGCTTCCTCTTTTTCAAGTTTGTTTCAGCCTTTACTGACCATCAGTTATTTACAGCTCTCTGGTTCCCCGAAAACAAATTACTACATAAAGGAAGAAGAAAAAAAGAAATCCCCAAGTGCCACATTCTGTTATGGTGTAACTTGCTCTTACTGTGTGGGTTTGTCCTGGTGTGATTTATCCCATGAGTGTGGCCTCTTTAAAGCAGAAGATGCAATTTTGAAATTACGAAACCTGATCGGTTTGGTAACTGAATTGTTTTCTTGCTGGCATCCACCCATGGGCTTGATCCTCCCTCTGTTGAAGTTGTGACAAAGCTCCTGATGACTTTGAGGTACCAAAGCCTTTTATTTTATTTTTTTCTTTCAGTTCAAGTACAGACTGTAGAATGTTCTTTTTACATTTCACCACTTAATGTCTGCATTTGAGAGGAGTGATCCTCACAAAGTGGTGTGGGCTGCCAAGCAGTTTTGTGTCACAAAGGGCATTTACCGGGTGATGAAAGGCCAGATTAAGGTAAAAGTTCGTGACAGCTATTGTAAGGAGATGTGAGCAGGGTGTGAGGGGTGTTGGCCCAGGGCGTGGTGAGAGCTGCAAGGCAAAAAGCAAGGAGGAGAGCAGGGGATGGAGCAGTCTGTGCCCCAGCTGAGAGGGCACGGAGGAGGTGAGATAGCTGGGTGAGGGATGGGATGGTTGGAGAGTGGGAGATGGGAGGTGAAATGGCTTGAGGGATGGGATGGGATGGGATGGGATGGGATGGTTGGGATGGTTGGAGGTGGGAGGTGAAATGCTAGGAGGGATGGGATGGTTGGAGGTGAAATGGCTTGAGGGATGGGATGGGATGGGATGGGATGGGATGGGATGGGATGGGATGGTTGGAGGTGAAATGCTTGGAGGGATGGTGGAGGTGGGAGATGGGATGATGAGAGGTGAAATGGCTGGAGGAATGGAATGGTTGGAGGTGAAATGGCTGGAGGAGTGGGATGGTGGAGGTGGGATGGATGGGATGGTGGAGGTGGGGTGGCTGGAGGTGGGAGGTGTTGGATGGTGGGATGGATGGGACCGTGCGAGGTGGGGAGATGGGATGGTCGGAGGGTGGAAGATGGGATGGTGAGAGGCAGGACACGTGGAGAGGGAGGATGGTGGGAGATGGGATGTTTGGAGTGTTGAAATGCTTGGAGGTAGGAAGTGTGGGGTTGCCGCAGGGGTGGGATGGTGGGATGGCTGGGGAGGAGGGATAGGTAGAGGTGTGAGATTGGAAATTGGAGGTGTTCGGTGGGTGCGGGGTGGTGTGAAGGGTGAGATTGTGGGGGTGAGGGGTGTGGGATGGCTGGAGGGATGGGATGGCAGGAGATGAGGGTGTGGGATGGCCGGAATTTGGAGGTGTGAGGGCTCGGGTGGTGTGAGGGGTGGGGATGGCCAGAACTCGGAGCTGTGAGGGCTTGGATGGTGTGAGAGGGTTTGGGATGGCTGGAATTTGGAGGTGTGAGGGGTGTGGGATGGCCAGAACTCGGAGCTGTGAGGGCTCGGGGGCTGTGGGGTGGTGTGAGGGGTGGGCATGGCTGGAGGGATGGGATGGCCGGAATTTGGAGGTGTGAGGGGTTTGGGATGGCCGGAATTTGGAGCTGTGGGATGGCCGGAACTCGGGGTTGTGAGGGCTCAAGGGCTATGAGGTGATGGGAGGGGTGGGGATGGCTGGAGATGAAGGTGTGCGATGGCCGGAATTTGGAGGTGTGAGGGCTCGGGTGGCGTGAGGGGTTTGGGATAACCTCAGTTTGGAGGTGTGAGGGCTGTGGGATGGCCGGAATTTGGAGCTGTGAGGGCTCGGGGGCTGTGGCGCCGTGTGAGGGGTGTGGGCTGGCCGAACGTGTCCTCTGCCCATATCCTCCTCTGGCACCTCCAACGCGGGTACAACCCGATGCGACCCCCCCACTCAGACAGCCGCTACACACCCCCAGCCCACCCCGCGCCGCACCCGCGGTTAATGAGCGCTAATTAGCGCTAATCACCCCGCGCAGCCGCACCGCCCGCGCCTGCGCGCCGGGCCCGCGGCCGGACCGCGCCTGCGCGGG